TAGGTTGAGCGTGCACGGAAGATCCAGCGTTTCATGTCGCAACCCTTCCAGGTAGCACAGGTCTTTACGGGTTACGAAGGCAAACTTGTGTCATTGAAGGATACCGTCCGCTCGTTCAAGGAGATCCTTTCTGGTGCACACGATAGCTTGCCTGAGTCTGCATTCTACATGGTGCGTCCAATGTCCTTCGGTCTGTGGATTCCGCTGACTTGCACACAGGCTGGTACGATCGAAGACGTCAAGTCTAAGGCAGAGCAGCTCGCCAAGGAGATGGGTGGCAACTAGACAGTTGGCCAACGCTTTGTACTCGCCTTACTTCATTCATGCTGCTATCTATGTAGAGTAGGGCAGATACATGCATTAAAATATCACTATATCCGGATATCCTTTTGGCAACCTGAAATAAATAGGACAAGGAATGCCACCGACTTTCTGTTGTTCCTGCAGTGTGCCCTGTTTACCCCACACAGCATTATGTAGGATAGTGAGTGCTCTTGATACTTGCAAGTTGCCTTTAGCTACTAAGGCCATGCTGTCAGTAATGACCAAATAGAGATTTAGACATGTATGTCGGCGTAGGACTGTATGGGACAACGATGACGAACTTCATGTCATTGTGGTCCCATACAATCCTATTTATTAAGACTGTTCATTAAACTTGAACATTTCTTTGACCGTCGTCGATCGCTTTGAGAGGTTGTCAGCAATCTTGACAATATTAATGTCGTCGACTCCTCTGTCGTGTCCAGATCAAGGTCCTCTGTATCAACATCATGCTAAGTCCAGCTTGACTGCAACGTATCAAATCATGCCACTGTATTGTGTGCGGTAGATGACTCACCTTCCATAGCCTCAGACCGTCAGCATCTATGAAACTCATGATTCTTGGCCCATCTTCAATGGCATTTTGCAGCCTGCCCAAGGTCAAACTTAGGTAAACTTCAAATGCCAAGAAGTCTTGCGCCAGGCCACATCCCCGAGAGTCCAGCAAATGAGTTCGATCTCGGTGTACATGGTCATGTTTTAAGATAGAGGTCAACCGGCCCGAATGCTTTGGAAGCTTCAAGTCATAGTCCCAGAAGGATCGACGTCAACATTCAACTCGCAAACTTGGGAATTGCCGCCTGGCGGCGTCGGCATTAACCTTGCTTCTTCCGCACTTTCCGGTGCCGTCAAGTGCCATCCCAAGGGCTAACTGTTTAAGCCCCTTTCTGTGGTCTTCTCTTCCTAGCGTAATGTTGATCTCAATGTCTGACTTAGTTTCGAAACGGGCAGGGCATTTTTTTTGTTTGGTTCGGTTTCTGTGCGTCCAGAGCGTAATATGATATTGACGACGTCTTTCTACATCGCAGTGGACCGCCAAACGCGAGGGTCGTTACATTTCTACACTCTTAGAGCTTAGCTGGTGGATGACCCAGTTTATTCGGTATATCGAATATGTATCCATCACCTTATACATTGCTTTGCTAGACTCTGATGAAGAACGAACTAGCAATGTTGTCAGCGCAAGACGCCTTTGAAATGTTTTACTTTGAGAATGAGAGTTTGCTGGAGGTTGTTGTAGAATTCGGCCAACCACGTAGATTAGGATAGAATGAATTTGTGTTTACATATCTTCTCTCCTGCGATGGAATGTCCTTGATTTCTGTAATGCAACATGCTTGTGTACGACAAGAAGAATAAATCGACCGTGTCCATGCGAATTCCGCTCTTTGTGTTGCTTTTTCCGACAAAGTATCATGGTTCATTAGACATATGATGGTTCTGCATTCTACTGTGTTAAATTGTACAGAAAGAGAGCAAAGCTTGTCGTGCCCAAGTGCGTAAATCATCAGTGTCCTAACGTTTGCTTTCCACTTGCTTTGATCTTTTCTTGGCCCATCCAGCTTCGTCATTTTCGCATGCGCAGAAGCCGGCTTGACAATGTCAAACGGTCCTTTGCGCGCGTTGCGACGTTTGAATCCGGAACAAGCGATGGATGACCCAGGTTTTAAGATCTTGATCTGCTGAACGTCGGCGCGAAATGTATTGATTTTTTTGTCACGAAGATAGAGGTGACGGATCACGAAGAGGACTTGTACGACAACGCCTCTGAGAGCATCACTGGCATCACCCGGCTCCACCAAGAGTCGCTGCGGCAGAGTCTGAGAAGGGAAGCTTCGAAATTCAATTTTACCAAATCGAATCTATCTGTGTTTTATTGGAATGGGCCAGTTTTCCGTTTGCTCTTCCATGATGGGAGAGTTGTCTATACTTTCGTGAGTGTTGGTATATGACACTGATAGCGGCTCTACTTTACTTTTCTTGCCCCCCTCGGGGTTCTCGATATCGGAAAGATACACAGCGTGTTTGGGAACGGGCTGTTTCTGGTGACGTATAAAGGGAAACGAGGGTGACAATTTGAGTTCGCCGCCACTACCTCCGATTTGAATTCGTCCACCAAGGTCCGATCCCGCAAAAAGTGGAAAATAAGACCAACTACTAACATAACGGAAATCATATCATATTGAATGTCTGAGCCCCCTGTCCAACGGCCTTTTAGCAAGCGGCAGTGAAATTGTCCCGAAGCAAGATCCTGATTGATTAAACAACGCACTTCGTGCAACATTGCATCAACCACAGCACCAGTGCGAAAGCAGGAATACGACCTACTGATGTGACGTGCGAGTCAGGCTGTCAGCTAAGCTGTCACACTTACAAGCACAAGCACTTCCCTACATAATCCTATAATAAGGCGCAAAGGTCAGTCATGGAGTTAAATACTGGATGTAGAGTAGTTACATCACAATAACAGCCATCGCAGCATTCTGGAGCATATGCGAAGTCGTTGCAAGGACCAAGATACCCACTACATGCAGTGACAGACATAGATGTTGTCAAAGCAGCAATACTGAGAAGGAAGGAGAAACGCATAGTCTGTATGGGATGATATAGGATAAGCTGATGGGACCACTCTGGGTTCAATGTAGGAAAACACGTTACTAATAAGTGATTGTTGTGGGCAGATCTCGGCTGTTCTGCCAGTCAGCCTGGCAGGGGTTGGCTTGCGGTAGAACTCCAGCGTGGATGGTGAGAGTGTAGGCAGAACATGTAGCCTGGCGACTCCCAGTAGCGGATAAAACATTAAAGTGCAAACTGAGGATGCAGCCTCTCGACGGAAGAACTTTGTAAGCGGAGCCAAATGAACGGACTGAGTGGAACTTCTTGTGAAGTATCCTGGATCGCAAACTTGAAGTGACCGCAAGGGATAGATTCTGCTATACGCTTCGCCCGAAAGCCTGCGATACATCGTAGATATTATTGCAAGAAGTTTCGTAGTCCACTGCGTGACATACCACGGATTGTCTTTTGCCCGAGAACCAGTGGGAACTCCGCGAGATGGCTGTGAGGGATATATCATTTTGCCTATAGCCTCGCTGCGAATTTCCCCTCAATACGCAGGACATAATACAACAAGATAAGCTGCCCTGCGGACCTAATAGCCATCTGCCTTCCTGCGAGCGGCGTCTACCTTGTTTCGAGCGGCACTTTTACCCATTTCTGGGCCATTAAAAGCGCGAGGGTTGTCTGGTCAGTAGTTTTGCAGCAGGCATGGGAACATGATGCACTGCACCCTCTTGACACGTCACATGGTGTTATGTGACTCCTGCTGGTGATGTAGCTCAAGCGCTTGCTGGTACGGATCGTACGGGCCCTCTGGCGTTTGAGCAAAGTGGCATGTATCAATTTTCTTTCGAGGTCCTTATGTGGAAGACTTTCGCACACCAATCACGAGGATAGTGATCTAGCTCCTTTTCCTTTTGCCTGTTAGATTCGCTCAATCACGCAATCCACCGTTTGGCCAACTTGATTGTCCGGTGCTGTCAAGGGTCATCCCCAGGGGCTCACTGTTCAAGCCCCTTTCTGTAAGAGTTCTTTTCTGTGTAGTGTGATGTTGATCTCAATGTCTGACTTAGTTTCGAGGCATAACACGCAGGGCATTTGTTTGTCTGGTTCGGTTTCTGTACTTTCGGAGCGTAATATGGCGTTGACGACCTCTTTTTGCTTCGCAGTGGAACGCCAAACGTGAGGGGTGTTACATTTCCACCTTCTGCTCTCCTGGATGACCCGGGTTCATTCAGTATATTGAGTATATATCTGTCACCTTATATATTGTTTTGCCAGACTATGGTGAAGAACGAACTAGCAATGATGTTAGCACAAGACGCTGTCGAAATCGGTGCACGCACTGGCTGATGTCAAGCAGTTGGCAACCTGAAATAAATAGGACAAGGAATGCATCCCACTGACTTTCTGTTGTTCCTGCGGTGTGCCCTGTTTACCCCATATGGCATTATGTAGGGCAGTGAGTGCTCTTGATACTTGCAAGTTGCCTTTAGGCCATGCGGTCAGTAACGACCAAATAAACATTTAGACATGTACGTACGCGTAGGACTGTGTTCATTAAACTTGAACATTTCTTTGACCGTTGTCGATCGCTTCGAGAGGTTATCAGCAATCTTGACAATGTCCTCGACTCCTCTGATCGTGTCCAGATCAAGGTCCTCCATATCAACATCATGCTAAGTTCAGCTTGACTCCAAAGTATCAAATCATGCCATCGTGTTATGCGCAGTAGATGACTCACCTTCCATAGCCACAGACCGTCAGCATCTATACTCTGAATTTGAAACTCATGATTCTTGGCATCTTCGATGGCATTTTGCAGCCTGCCCAAGGTCGCATCTCTTGAAACAAAAGCAGAAGTCTTGCGCCAGGCCACATCCCAAGGAGTCCAGCAAATGAGTTCGATCTCGGTGGACATGTTTGACTTCAAACATGTCCACCAAGATCGAACTTACTCTACCTGAGGTAGAGGTCAACCGGCTTGAACGCTTTGGAAGCTTTAAGTCATAGTCCCAGAAGGATCGGCTCGCAAATAAGATTAGGTAAGAGCACATCGTGGCAACCAGTACCGATACAATCCTCGACATGTGAGGGAACAGTGCCAGGTATTATAAGGCGCTATGGCCGAGTGGTTATGGCGACAGATTAGAAATCTGTTTCGGTTTCCGAGCGCAGGTTCAAATCCTGCTGGCGTCGTAATGTTTTTATAATCCTGCACAAGATTTTTTTACTTGCACTTGTTTTTGTTAAAGATGAGCTAGGGAAGACGTGAAGGCTGCCATACATCTGCATCAACAGTGGATTTGTTTTGTAGCTGGAATCTGAATCTATGACATCACTCTGTACTTACTAGCACTGGCTAAATACTTGTCCTACTGTGGAATTGTCTCCCGTAGTCAGAAGGAAACAGCCGTTCCTTCTGTTTCAAGGGATTGTATATGCAGCAGGTAAAATGACCGTTGGACTCCATCTAACTTATCATTTATCTGGAGTCCCTGAAGTCACGGTACGCGTGCATCATCAGCCACAGACGCGCCGCGTTCCCACGGTGACGCGTTTCGACGCGACTCGTTAGCTTGCACGCTCACCACCCTTCTGCTCATCTTCTAACAACGATGGGAGATACATTCGTGACCACTGGACTTCTTGGGCCAGGCCCATCGGCATCGTTGCTTGGTCCTTCACCTACGAGAGATGGACTCAGTTCTGAATTCGTATCGAATGGCCTGTTGGGTGGACTAGGTACGGTCCCGGCTCTTGGAGAACCAGAAGAGCGAGCCCTTGCTCTCCAGGAAGTTAAAGGCGTAGATGAACAGAGTGAACCTAAACAAGCAGAACAGAAGAACTCATTTCAACCAAACGGATTGCTGGGATCACAGGATGCGGGTGAAAGTGCTCTTGCAGGCATGGCTCCTATGGGCTCCCTGAATTCTGGTCTACTAGCAGGAACCGATATTTTCGCATCAAGTGGGATGTTATATGAATCACAAGGTTGGGCATTTATGTCTTCTTTTGCTTATTGAATCTCATTCTATTCTACGTTCATCCAGATGATTATTTCCTTCCCATATCAGATATCTTGGGTCTCAATCCACAGGGCCCTCGTAATTCTGCGACTTCCTCCTCTAGGTTGTTTATCTCTACACACATGCGTACTTCCCTTCGTGCTACGACATATGACGGGAAAGTAATACAGATAAAGCGAAAGCAGCGCGCAGGGACAGCACGAAAGGCAAGATACAAACATGCATCGCCTATTTTCTACACACTCATGACGTTCAGATTTCTTCTGCTCCAACACAATTGAGCAATCTACTCGACGTGCCAGTACACAGGCTCAAGGACGAGCTATCGGCTGCTACCATTTCGAAGATGTCACTTTCGTGTGTCTCTTGTATCTCTATTTGGGAGCGCATCCTTATGCTTATGTTCTCTAGGAAAACCGCTACCACAGTTTCTCAGGCAGACAAGCCCTCAAATCTAGCGCCAGAAGACACGCTTTGGGTTGACCGATATCGCCCTCGAAAGTTCACAGAACTTTTAGGTAATGAGCGTGTTGCTCGTGAAACAATGGCTTGGTTGAAGCAGTGGGACTGGTGTGTATTCGGTAAGAAGAAGAGCAAGAAGAGGCTGCGGGAAGATGATGAGAACTATAACCCTGACGACGAATACCACCGGCCACGAGAAAAGGTAATATCATACCAATGCAATAGAATGTGGGCGTTTATCGTGATATTTGATTAACAGTTACTACTAATATCTGGCCCCCCTGGGCTTGGTAAGACGACACTAGCGCATGTTGTCGCCAAGCAAGCGGGCTATGAAGTAATGGAGATTAACGCGAGGTCTGCTGCTCCGATAGTCCTTTTGGTTTAGTGCTTACTCGCCGCAGTGATGCGCGCTCCGCACAAGTAATCGACGAGCGAATACGACCAGCACTGGAATCAGGGTCCGCAGTCGGAAGCATAAAACCTATGCTACTTATCATCGATGAGATAGATGGGGCTACAGGAGGCAGCGATAACGTATGTGCTGCGAGCAATGTTGACTGACCATTGACACATTTTACTAGTCAAGTGGATTTGTGAACAAGTTGGTCTCACTAACATTTGACAAGCCGAAGAACAAACGCAAGTTTTTCACTGGACATTGTTTAATGACACTTGGCTGAATCTATTTTCGGCAGGGAAAAAGAGCGACCAGAACGACAAGCGTCCATTGCTTCGTCCAATAATATGCATTTGTAATGACCAAAACGCGAATGCACTCGCGAAACTCCGTCCGCATGCCCGTCAAATCCGGTACACGAGACTTGCCGACGGTCATATCGTCAAGCGTCTCCGCGAGATTTGCGAGTTGGAGGGCTTACAGGCTGATACAAGGGCACTGAGTACCCTTGTTGGTGTGGCCAAAGGCGACCTTCGAGGTTGTCTCAATACTCTGCAGGTGTGTCCTCATGCCGTGTACATGCCACACTCATAAAATTCTCGATGTTTATAGTTCATAAAGTCTCGCAGTGATGAGGTGACCGAACCACTCATCCGTCGTGCAACTGTAGGCATGAAGGAGGGGGACACGACTATCTCCTCAGTAACCAACCAGATTTTTGCGCCTTTATCCCGAAGACGTGTCAAGGAGCTTGGTATAGGTGAAGAAGAAGAGGCCCGATATGTGAACCGCTTGAGCCATTCAATTGAAGGTTTGAATAATCCTGCGAGTATAGCAAATAGTAAGTGCAAAGCGTAACCTTATGTTATTCACTCACTCAAGGACAGGCTGTTTTGCGCATTATATTAACTGTCATCGGCATGATGCAAACTTGAACCACTACGAGAAGGCTGGCGACTGGTTGACCACCTTTGATACCTTTTCGTCGGTAATGTACACGGACGGGGATTTTGCGCTACATAAATATTTGTCATATTTTCTGGTCCCTTTCCATCCGTTATTCCGAGAGCGAGGGGGAAAACGGGTAGAACGAGATTCCACGGACTGGGAGGTGAGCTTTTGCCCTTTCCATATTTGCAAGATGTTCATTTTCAGTAGAACTTGCAGCTGACGCGCGCAAACGAAGAGATATACAAATCACTATCAAACGGTATTCGCTCTGCTGGTCGGACTGCAGGGGCCAGCAGACACCTCATCACAGGTCAAGTTCTGCAACTCGAATTCGTGCCGTACATCAATCGTATAATATCCCCTCCTTTGCGACCCGTGAGTGGATCGTGCTGCGCTTATACACTTCTCGATTGACTCCTTGATATTTCTGTCAGGTCAACAGTCAAGTAATTAAGGCACAGGAAAAATCTTTGCTCATGCGCTTGGTGGAGATCATGGTGTCTTTTGAACTTCGCTTTGTACAAGAAAAGGCGGAGGATGGCCAGCTTGTGTACAGGCTTGACCCGTGAGCCCTGCATAATTCACCCAACGATCTATCTCTTGCTGATATTGTTCACAGTCCCATCGATGTTTTTATTACCTACGACGGAAAGCGCGCCGCAGATATTGCAGTCTCCCGGTATGCTGTGCGACACTTGGTCGCTACTGAGGTTTGTGGCCGTTGAATATGATATTACCATACTAACCCGACTCAAGATCGACGCCGCACTCATCGCAAAGCACGCAGACGCGGTGGAGAAAGGAAAAGAAGACGCAAGAGCCAACTTCTTTAAAACGTCCGTCTATCTGCATATATCATGTCTGCGTCACTCATTTAACGATTAGCTCGAGGAAGAGCGATACGGAAAATGCCGACGAATCTCATGAGCCCACGGAAATCACGGAAGTTAATGAAGGGCTACGACGCCTAGATAAGTCCTCTGAACCTGGCCCTCAAAACAAACGAGCACGCACATCTGAAAAAGTGGACATTGCAGACAAGGTTCGAGATTGATTTATGTGCTCCCGATCGTCTGCTGAGTACGTTGACTAGCCACCTGTGGACTTCTTTGGAAGGCCAATCACCGTGAAGAATGATTTGAGGAGATCGTCGACGTCGAAAAAGGCAGTGGCTGATTTCCACGTCGCATACAAGTATCTTGAAGGGAACTCAGCGGCTGTTCGACGGTCGGTCAAGGTTTCATCGTTCCTTTGACTAAACCCAGTGGATTTCAATGGGTTGACCTATGAAAAGTGTATCAGAACATTATCTCGGGATTATAATAAACGCATATGCACTAAGCGATAAGGGATGTACATGTAGGGTATAGCCGATATGACAAAACGATACAACATGATCCTCTCAAAACCAAGAACCTATAGAACATAGCGGAAATCACGGTTTTGTTTATCCGTAAGGTCGAGGAAGGCCTTATCCACCCTCTTCTTCTCACCACCTTCGCCTAGTACGTACACGTTGTCGTACTGGTCGTCGGGAGTTTCTTTTTCTCGTTTCTTGTTCTCATTATTTAGCATGAGACGAAGGGTTACCAGGGCAACACCCGCAGCAAAATTACAGGCTGCGATGACAGCCCAAGGTATGTGGTTCCTACATGAAGCTTAGCGTGACCCATAATGAGCGGAGATACTAGAAAATGACACACCTTGGTTGGTAATTGGCCTTCCACATGAACTGACTAACAGCATTACCAATTGCGTATGCACAAAGGACGATGGCATTGGTGGTAATCCCTGCTCAAATGTCAGACCAAGTGCAACAAAAAAAAACTGTCCATACGTTTCGTGTGCCCAGAAACTATTGAGCTAACCCAGCCAAGGAAGATAGGGAATGGTGCAATCGCAAAGACTGGAGATAATAATAAACATGTCAACTCGTGTCGAGTTACTTTAGAAAAAATAAAGTCACGAGAACGTACTTGAGATCCAGTACGAAAATAGTAGGCCTATTTTGTTGGAGAACGGAAGTGTACTGACGAGTATCGCACCGAGTATCGCGGGGATGTACATCAGCACACCAGCATATGAACGCCCAATGAATGATCGTGAAGCAAGGATCACTGCCGCCCAAATAGCAACAACTGCGCCGCGAGAATATATCAGGGAAGTGCAGTACAACACAAAATAATGACACACTTTCGACAACTCCGTCGACACATCCAAGTAGAGTCGTCTGGATATCGTTAAAACCGAATTGTGCGACAATCAGCTGGCGCTGATTAGTGAGCTAAGATGCGTCAATATAAGCTCAAGTCACTAGACGACCTCTCTTACAGAATTCACTATGTTTCTAGAAGGAC